AGTTGGTAAGACAAAGCAAAGAAAAATAATCTTTATATTTTTTTACCACTTATGCCTAGACTAATTAATATTACTATTCAGTTTAATTAAAGCATATCTAGTTCGTCTGGGGGACTCTATCGGTTAAGATACACCTATTAGATAAATAAAATAATATTCCTGACCGTTTTGGCATCCTGATCGCTAAATGAAAAAAAGGATTTTTTTATACTGCCATGAGTTCTTCTTTAATAATATTAATAATAATAAAAAAACTTGAATAAACTTAAAAACAAATAATAAATCAATGAAAAACGATATACACAAAAAACGCCATTTTTTTTGTGAGAAGAGAGATAAAACATCAGAAATAAGAGAAATAAGTCGGTATACCGTCGACAAAAAGAAAACACACACACACACATAATGTTCACGTCTAACTAGAGAGAGAGTGAGTTTGTTGTTGTTTTTTGCAAGTGTTGACAAAGATAGAACGAATAGAAACAGCCATAAAATGAGACGAGACAAAGACAATAAGACAAGATTATTCGATATGTATATTTGTTGCTAATATTTCTCCCGTTGTGATAGTTTGACATCCTTGACTAACATATTTATCCAATAGACTTTCTTTTAACGATATGTCATTGGGAGTTGTACGTTGAATTTGTAATTGTTGAATTTTTTTTGTTAACATATCTGGATCAACACCATTAACCATTTTTGGCATTGGACCAATATTCGATGGTGGTTGTTGTTGAACAATAGATGCAGAAGGAAGAAGAGGAGCAGTGAGAATACTATTGTTAGTAGCACTTGTTGGGGTGGTCGGCGAGAGTAAAGTGGGTGGAAATGAATTTCGATTAGATGAATATTTTGATGAATTTATTAAGTCTTGATGTTCACTTGTTGAATCATCTTCACTATTTTCAAGTTGATATTGATTTAAATCTTGTTGATCATCTGTTAAATCGTATGACGGAGATGTATAACCTGTTGAACTTGATAAATTATTTGTCGATGGTGAATGAGTAAGTTGTTGTTTTGATTGTTTTGTCCACGTTTTTAACGATTTCCATTTTGTTGAACCTAAGGAGAACAGTAAAAAGGTTTCAAGGATCCTAATTAAATTTAGTAACGAACAACGGTCACGGTGAGTATTTTTAGTTTAAAAATCTACAGGCAAGAAAACATTTCGAGAGAACTCTCTTACAATCCAACAAGTTCTCTCATTTAACTAATTGAGATAAGCTTCTCAGTTAAATATGTTTCTTACCTTCTTTAGGTCCTAGTATAGCTGTGAAATAGATATAATCTCCGGGATGTAGAACACACGTTAAATCATTAAATGTTTCAAACTGACACGATTGAATATCGAAGAATACTTGTTCATTATTATCCATGTTCAATATTCCATATTTCGGAAATATTCTTAGTACAATTCCATAGGATGTAAATTGTGAATTTTCACCATATGAACGATCCTTATGAATTAAGGCTTTGACAGCATCTTGTTTAACGCTGACACATCCGTCTGTATGTAATTGAAATATGGCATTATGACGTTTAAAAAATAGAATTAAATCATCTCTTGTAAACCCAATTACATTCGATAAATAATCGGGTGCACGAGCTATTAATCCAGGCACATTTTGCAATAGTAGTCGACCATTTTTGTACAATAAACGCATGACATAATGAACAGCTTTCACTTCAATAGGAGTTAAACGTTTCGATAACCCATTATTTGTAGCTGCTGTCGGTGTCGATACGAGACCACCACGACCATTACTCTTGAACGATGTTGAACGAGTTAAACTACTGCAATTCCCATTTACTGTGAGGGGTATGTTAGTAACACCGTTAATTATACGACGTTTTGGGGGAGGAGAGGGTGGGGGAAATTGCACACCCGGCTGGTCACATTTTCCTAAAAAAAGTAAATATAATTCAAGTTAACGATCAATGAATACTAAAAACTTATTTTATTTACCTTTGAGTCCACAATAATCATCTTTAACAATGAATGTTTGTGGATAACGTACTAAAAATGCTTTAAATTCATTCTGTGGTCCAACAAATTTTCTGACATCAGCTGATGCTTGACTAGCATGTCCAGCAACGCTAACAATTGGTAACCATTCTTCTTCTCGTTTTTGTATTTGTTTTCGAAAGAATATAATAGCTTCTTGTTCGATTTCTTTCATTGTTTTGGCGTCCCATTGTGGTCCATCGTCTTGATTTGAATTATTGGCATCTATTAAACTACTACCTGTGGATGTTGTCGTCGGCGATGTTAAACCGTTCGTATGTTTATTTAATGATAATGTAGGACGAGATGTATAACGTTGTGAAGAAGATGTCGTACTCGATGATGATGATTGTGTGTGTAAATTTGTTCCCGATGATGATGATGTTATTGGGCGCACAGGTGTACCACTATTTGCCGATACTGTTTCGTTTGCCACCGTGAATAATGACGGATATCGGAGCAAGAACTGTTGAAGTCCTAAACAAACATACAATAGTATTAACCAATTTTAAAAGAAATCTATTTCGAACTATTTTTTGTGGGCAAAGCTGTAACGGTATAGCAGTGAATCTATTCTATAGCATTTTTTTATGCTATACTAACAATGCAACGATTTCGATAAGCGTTAACTCTAATTCTCTTAATTTTTGCCAAGGTTAAAGAAACTCACCTTGCTCATTGCCGCCCACTGCTCTAAGCATTTGTGTTGTAAATGTTTTATCACCAAAACTATCATAAAGTTTTGCTATTGTCATTGCTTGATTATTACGTATAAGTACATCAAGTATAAATAGAATAGCTTGATGAGCAACAGACGGCTCATCAATTGTAATTCCATGGGTTTTCTCAACAGCAGACATTGGTAGAGAAAACTTTAATCTCCTCCTAAAATGAAATAAAAACAGAAAATAGAATATATAAAATATTATATAATTAGACAATATTTTCAAGACAAAAAAAGAACTACCTTATCTGTTTCTGATGATTACGATGTTGGGTACTAAACGTGTATTTAGTTGACGCATATTCATGCGCACAAGTGGTCATAGCAAAGACAAGTTTATTATTTTTTTATGCACGCTAAGTTTTCATATACAATACAATTTTTGAACTATATACTCAGAGAATATCGCAGATCAATTTATGTTTTTATAAACAGAACAATATTGATTACCTTTAAGTATATATATATATTTATACATAGAGGTAGATGAGAAAGAGAGAAGTAAAAAATGTATAGATCTTTCTTTTTGTATTCCCAATATTTTTAACAATTGAAAACTATAGAAGAACTCATTGAGATATAATTAAACACTTTTCGCGTTGGTCACGCCTGAGTGGTTCAACTAATGAGAGAGAGAAAAAAAAACGTATTCGTCCAACAATTAAAATATATTGATGATCTAACACCTCTCTATAACGCATTTAATACAATCAAATAAAAACCGAATAGATCCTTGACAAAAAAATTGCCGAGGGACAATTAAATAGATTCTCTCACATCAAAGTGGTCAGAAATAAAAGTGCTATACACGCTATTTTTTTATCCTTAGCAAGTTCACAGTCGTTGATATATGTTCTTGAACAAGCTAGAGATGGAGATCATCACATAGTAAAAGTATCAAAATTAGATTATCTATATAAAAAATAATGTTCACAAAACGGTTACAGGAAAAATTAATTGTTTTTACATAATTCTCATTGGTCTTTCTTTTGTTATATGTGTCGCTGATGAAAAAAACATTTTCTATATGGGTAAACCCAAGTTTTGCAAGCATCGTTTAGTTTTACATGGATAATCTAATTTCAATACATTCACACAATAATATCGACTTTTTAAACAACCAATTTCAATCATGTAAAACTGTACTTTATTTTCGAATCTTATTTGTTACTAACCTTTCACTGGTGGAAGTTAGAATATAAGCTGTAATTAGACAAGAAATATTTTTTTCATCTTCTATGTACAGCATCAAATATGTAAATATTCCACAGAAACGTATAGCAATACAAGAAGAAAAGAAAGAATTATTATCATCATTGTTCTCAAAATATCTCTTACTCACATGCAATCGAATATGATATATACTCGTTTCCATATATTATTGATGAAATGATCTTTGTATATTCTCTCTCAAAATAGTTACATCTACAATGCAACATATACATATAAATATTAAATCTGATACATGTGCGAGTTATTACAATATGTCAACAAAGAAATATATCGAATCATTTTATCGAAAAAAAAACGATAAATATCGCATGTTTGGACGATATGTTCAACTCGAAACATTCTTACTTAATAGTTATAGTCAAACGTATTTTCATGACAAACATCTATCATAAAACGTATCCACAAGTATACGTTAAGAGTATGTATAATTAAATACTTATGTTCAAAAATCAATTCACACAATCAGTTTTGTCAAGGTTTTTAATCGTTACTCATATATCTATAATGTTCTATATGCTTATGATTATAGCTTAATGGGAAAAGTGAAAATGGATGATGACGTTATTTTATATTGCCTAAAACGCAAAGAAACACACCGTAGTGTATCACTCGATGCACATTTTCATTTCTTTGACTGCTATATCAGTTTTAGAATTGACCAAGCTTGTTTCTTGAATTAAATAGATGTTTAAATTACGCATAGATAACAAAAGAATGGAAAATCGGAATATGAAGCTATTGTTTCGCAAAAATTTCGAGATTTAACACAAAACGGATGTTTCACATGTCAATTTCTTTGTTAAACTGTCTGTAAAAGAATTTTGAAGAAATAGGAGTAGCATACTTGAAACAATTCGATTTGGAGAACAGTACATGAAAATGGAGGCGAAAAAAACCAGAGAATTGTTGTAACACATTTATGGTCTATTGACTAAACATGATATATAATTTTGATAGCTGCCATTTTCAAAAATATCGTCTGAATATAAAATAACGATTATCCAATAGTTTTGCTTGAATATAGGAAATATTCATATCCATTCTCATACGAAATGTTGAAATTTCTCTAATAACGGCAGAAATATTATATAAGGAATCTATTAAAGAAAAAAAAACGGATGAAAAATAAATAAAAGACTAGATGGCAATTGTGCTTAGCATAACTTGCAAAGATGAACGTTCAAAATTGCTTGGTTTGATAATTGACAGTGTAAATTTTGATGCTTGCTGCTGAATTATTCCACCAAGTGATCTAATAGGATATCAATTTCATTTAAACAGACCAAAGTCAAGTAGAGGTTTATCGTGGCGTTACATCTAAGAAGATTCAGAGTATCATCTTACGGTGAATATGACCCATATAATTTCTTTTGTTGTATAGTATTCAATTGATGTTTATTCCTTTTCGAATACTTATATTTGTACAAAAAATGTTTCACACATTATTCTAATTGTTGATTACACACTCTCATATAAACTTATAAGAGACTGAAGAGAATAAAAACGACCGTCGTATATTACAATCAGTTTGCGATCGTAGTAAAGTCGTAAACGACAATCTCTGATCATAAATTATCGTTTATGATTGTATGAAATCGACTTGAATAAGTGAAATAAACTTGTAGCATAATCTATTCAGTTATACGTGCTTCTACAGGAAAATACAGCGACTAAACTCAGCATTATGTCGTTCAAATAAACTGAGTGTTTAAAACTTATTTATATTTAATTTAATTATCAAAATGAAAATATAGAATGAAGACTATCATATATCAACAAAAATCCTGTAAGATTATTCATATCTTTTTTTTTTGATAGATCTAGACTCAATTATACCTGTTCTCTTTATGCAACTTCTTCCATTAGTAGAAATACGTATACTCGATATAATTACTGTTTTCTGCCGAAACAATAAACAGATAGTGATGTTAATTTACTTACTATGACCTTTCTTTTATGTGACATTTTTATCATGAAAGTATAAAATTCTATTAATGATGACGCGACACACAAGTGTTAGGGTTAGAATTTGGGTTGCTGTTATTTATAATTTACAGAGAAAAAAAAAATGAGGAAATTGTATTTAGACGTGTATAATCGCTAACAGATGTGAATGCAGAAGAAAAAAAAAAAAGAGTAATAAGAATAAGTGTTTAATTGCATAAAAAGAAAAAGTGGATTATTTTGTGAAAAATGAGCTTTATCAACAATGATATTATATTTATAATACAACTGACGGGAGTAATTTAGTGCACGCACCATCTGCGTCATTCCTCACTTCTATTCTATTCTTAAAGAAAGACATAATCCTTAAATTATCATAAAAAATTTTCAAAATAGAATTAAAATTAGAATCGAAGTTTATTTTTTAGAAAAACATCAAAAACTCATTGATCTTATAATTTCCTAAAGATCATTTCAAATACTAGATGAAATATTTCTCCAAAAAATTATTCTCTAAAAACATGTTAAATATTATTCTGTAGAATTTTATTCATTTTAAAGTCATGTGAGTTTCAAGCAACTTACGTCGCTTGTTCTATCAGTGCATTGCTCTTAGAAGGTGTCTAAGACAAACGGTCTGCTGTTATTCAATAAAACTAACCTACAGCAATTCTTCTTTGTATGTTTATTATGCGCATAAACATAACAAAACACATATTTTCTTTTTCCTGCTCTAAATGTGTTGTCAATGTAGAAAAAATAACAGTGAGTGAATCTAGGCAAGGCATATGTGTTAGAGTACAATTAACTTAAGCCTTTAGTAAATTGTACGAGAAGATTTGACAATACAATAAAAAGAGGAGTAAAGAGATCATATTTCTGTTCACATACAAAAAGTAAAAAAAAAGAAAAAAGACAATGAAAAGAAATATAGTCTCTTTCTTTCAATCAAACAAAACCAAAAAAAATTTGAGTCAAAATTAAAAGTTTTAACGTATTTAAACAATCCATAAGTAATAAATATTCTTTGATTTTGGTAAGCAATATAGGGATCATAAAAGAAATTTATTTTATATATGAGAAAAGAAAGTGAGAAGAGTTGTATATTGAGTTGTAAATTTACATCTAATTCGAGCATAAACAAATATCCATTTTCTTCCAATATTATGCAATAACACGTCTTAATCATATCCATCAGAGTCATAGAATCACACGTCATAAAAGAGTCAACATTTTTGTTTGATACATAGTTATAGATTCATAAATATAATCAAAAAATTTAAGAAAAACGCAATATTTTCAATTATGTTGTCTCAATTGGTATATATTTTTTTATACTAGAGTATGTATACTAAATATGCCGCCCACATATATATTATATTGATTTGAAATGTGAGCTTTATACTATTACTTTTTATACTTTTAGATATTCATTGCAGCAAAGATTATAAAAAATTATTAATAGTAGGAAATATGAGTGCGTCGTTGTTATTTATCTAATAATCTAATTGCGAGAGAAAAGTCAAAAAATCTACCATACTCAATAGACGATGATTCATAGCAAAAGGAAGAAAACATGTGACTAAGTACCATATGCTGTAAGATTAGCTTTTTTTTACCGATTGTTATGTGAGATAAGAAAAAATTATCAGACACTGTTTCCGCACTTCAAATTCTAATTTATACATTATTATCTACCTATATGTTAGAAATAACGAGCGAATCCGCTTGAATGCGTACATAAGAATACTTATTTTAATAGTCAATGTTTTTCGTCAATTAGAAAGTAAGGATTTTCTGTCTACCAGTTTTGTACTTAAAATTAATATTTCCAAATTTTATTTTTATATTGTTAAATTATTAACAAATTTAATCAGTATGTTGTAAAGAATCATTCTAAAACTGATAAGGTAAATGTCTTTTAATGAATAATAGTTTTTTTTCGTAATTACCTCTATC